TTATAAATAAAATGTTAAATTTTTAATTTTTTATATAAAAATATTAATTTTTTTATTTAATTATATTAATTTTATATTTTTTAATTTAAAAATTAATTAAATATTTAGAAAAACCATTCAACATATCAATATTATTTAATTAATTGTTAAATAAAAATAAAAAATTAATATTTTTAAATAAAAAATAAAAAATTTATTATTTTATTTAAAAATCAATAAAATTTACATTTTTAAATAAAAAACAAAAATTTATATTTTTATTTATATCTTTTCTATGCGATGGCGAGCAATGGAAAAATGAAAATGATAGCTAACTCAGGCTATAATTGGCCTAAGTGGAATCTTTAACTTAAAATGAAATAAGAGTTGGTTATTATTATTATTATTATTTTAACACAAAACCAATATAATTTTGGGTACATATAGTTTGAAAAAATAAATAGTGATGTTATAATTATAATATAAATTAAATTTATAAATTTATAATTATAATGTAATATTAAATAAATATATATAACATTATAAATAAATTTTTAAATAAAATAATTAATTATATAACAATATATTATATTATAAATTTATAATATTATGTGATATCGTATTTATATTATTTAAAAAAATAAAAGATTTTTTCTCTTATTATAAAGACATTGTTGGGATGAATTAAAAAAATTATTTTTTAATATATTTAATAATAATAAATTATATAAAAAAAATTTTAAAAAAATTTTTTATTTAATTTAAAATTTTAAAATTTCAATTATCGAACCATCTTTTAAAAGTAAGAAAACGATTAACTAATCAAACATGGATATACGATAAAAGGAAAATATCAAATTAAAGTTTTACATTTTCTTAAAAATGTTATTGGGTTACCCATAAAAAAAAATAAAGGTTTTTTTTTTAATGAAAAAAAACAAAAAAAAAAAAACCAAAGGTTCTTGGGTTGTGGAGTAGAACTACATTCCATCCCCTAGTGTCGTAGAATGTCAGTCTTACCTCTGCCCATTCCGGCGCCGTGCGGATTTCTGATTGGTGTCTCCTTCTTTTGAATCACTGGTAGTTGCTCGAAGCTCTACTGCTGTTTAGGTTTCAGCTGATACGTTGTTGGTAAAAAATATTGATTAGTTTTTATGCTCCATTTAGACTTTCTAAATTTAGATAAACTCTCACCGAAATTGGCCGTTTAAACCGACAATGAATACTTATAATGTTAATACCACTTAGAATTATAAAAATATAATTATAATATATTTTAAATAAGTTAATATATACGAGAACGATTTTATAATACTGTGATTACTAACTCTTTATAAAAGTTCTTTATGGGAAAAAAAATAAAAAATTTACAATATTATTTATTATTGTAAAGGTAAAAAGATATCATGAAATTACTATTTATTAATTATACATACAAAAAATATTAAGTAAAAAATAACAAAAATTATATTATTTTAACAAAATATAATAAAAAACTAAAACAATCTTACTTTTATTTTAAAAATTAAGATATTTTAAAATTTTAATGAAAATTTATTCTAATATTAAAATATTTTTTACTTAATTTTTATGACTACAATCGATAAAAATTTTTTTTCAATTTTAAATATATGTTTTAAAACAATATTATAATTATAATATTATATAAAATTATAAAATTTTAATTATAATATATCATTAAATAAATATAATATATTATTAAATACATAAATATATAAAATATTATAAATAAATTTTTAAATAAAAAATAATTATATGTTAATATAAAGCAATGGATATAAAAATAATTTTTTTATCATATTTATATATAATTTTTACATATTATTAAATAAATATATATATTTAATATTAAAATTTTAATTATATAAAAAATTAATTATTTAAATAATACATAAAATTATAAAAATAATATTAAAAAATTATTTCTAAATTATTTTTCAGTAATACAATAACTTATACGTAGGCCCTAAAGCTATGTGGACAACTTTTTGCTGTCCGCAAATAGCGTTAAGAACAGCCACACGCGCGTCGCGCATTCTTTTAAACAGTTGCAAGATTATTTAATTTGAAAAAAAAAATAAATAAATGCAACTTTCAGTTTTTACCATCTCTCCCCTCTCTTTTGCAAGATTCACTGAATGAGTTAAGAAGGACTCTTTCGATTTAACTATAAATTTTAGTTTTAAGTCTTAAAAATACAATTTTATTAAAGGTTATGAAAAAAAAATTTTACCACCTATTAAGTTTTATCTATCTCAAATTTAAATTAGTCGATAATCAAAGAGGTTTTCGGATACTAAGTGTTCAGAATAAAAAGTAAAAAAAAATAAAAAAAATCTCTCCCCTCCCCTGATTGCCTCAGTCTATAATATGTCGGCTTGTTCTCATTAAATTAAAATTAATTACTAAAAGGAAAGCTCCCCACATAAAGCCTGTTTTGTTTTCGTTCTGCTTTTCTTCTTCCTCTGATTTCCCGGCCACAATTCTGTTTCCCTTCTCCTTGATCCCATGACTTCCTTTTTCCGTCTCTTCTTTTCCTTTCCGCTTTTTTCCTTTTCTCACTTCCAAACAATCTAATCGGTGCTGCAGGGGGAGCTCAGTGTCAGTACTTTTCTTGAACTTCGTTCCGCCGGTGGAGTTGGTGGAGTTGATAATTTCGATTTCCGGTGGTGGAACTGGATCGGAAACGGAACCGGTCTGTAGACTTCGTTGCTGTTTCTTTGATTTCAATGATTCTGCTTCGAAATCTTGCTTTCTTACGGAGCTGGTTTGAGAACGAAATGCTTTAAACGATTGCGATTTTGTGCGCATCAGAACTTGGTACTGAGCTGTTGCAAGAGAGAGTAGCCGGGAAGGAGAAGGTTACTTGTGTGTTTTTTGGCTCAAGTTAGGGTTTGATTTCTCGAATTTGAACGTGAATGGAGGCGGTTCTACGTTGAAAGTCGAAGGTTTATTCTTTGGAGCTTTAGCGGAGTTTCTTTAGAAAAGATGTTAAAGAGTCTTTGGGGCGTGATTCATGGCTAAAAAGGACTAAAGCCGACTTTATGGTGGAAAGGTCGATTTTAGTTTTCTGTTGGAGCACAACAAGCGGTTGCATGTGTTAGAAGTTGTTTTATTTTCATCAATTCTTACTCTGTTAAGCATGAAGGCTCCATCAAATGGATTTTTGGCAAATTCTGCAGAAGGTGTGAATTTTTTCTCTTTTACTTTCTTATATTCTGCTTCTTCTTTTTTTCATCATAGGGTCTTTTGCCTCATTTAAAAAATTTTTTTTCTTCTGTTTCAGTTTTTTTTAAAAAAAGTAGTTTGAGAAATGCGAATAGAAAGTGGAACAAGCTCTTTTGCATATTGTGTTTGGTTCTGTTTCCAGATTTTCTGTCTTTAGTGTTCTCATATTTTGGGTTCACGATGGTCTAAGTTGTTGAAATTATTAGTATCTTTAGTTCTTTTCCTGAGTTCATTTGTTCTGTATTGTTCAGATCCCATCAGTTGTGCGTCTGCTTTTGCTAAATATCAGTGAACTTTGTGTTGTTGGTCTAATGAAAAAACTCCTTTATTTGATAGTAAAACTTGTCTTTGTTTTAATATCTTACAAAATTTCATAGCTTTTTTTAAAATTTTTTTTCAAGGAATCTTAAATAAAAATATAGCCCAATGGCACCTTTCATTTTCTCATGGGGTCAGCTATCTGTTCGAGGGAGATTTGGCTTTACCGTTTTGGGATAATCTATCATTTGGCAAATGGTGGAGCAATAAGGAAAAGAAGTAAAGTGAAAATTAGTTGGATCAGTCCCCACACAAATTCTTCATCATAATCAGAACCATGCTATGTTTATTGTGAGAATGAGTTAACTGGGAAGGTCAAATTATTGATGCCAGTGGGGTTTGGATTTTCTAAATGTTTTATGTGGCTAGATAAACAAATCAATCGTACAAAATTGCTTTCCATTTGGCTGTATTATTGTGATGCTTATGTTTTTGTCAGAAAGTTGACATTTGGGTAAATTGTTGCTTTGTCTAGCATTTGAAATGTATAGAAATCTAATATCGAAGGATTTGATTGCTTTCTTTTTTCTGGTGGAAATTAAACATCTGGATACTAAAAACTCCTTTTATTGTTGTGTCTTCGTGGTGATAATACTCTGGTTGGCTTGGAGAACAGGAGAAAAGAAGAATATTAATTCAGAGTTATGGCATGCCTGTGCTGGGCCTCTTGTTTGTTTGCCACCTGTTGGAAGTCTTGTTGTTTACTTCCCTCAAGGCCACAGCGAGCAAGTAAGTTAATTCCTCATTCATTCCACAGGATAGGAGCAACCGTTCCTGAAAGTGGCCTCTCATGAAAGTTTCTGACCAATATCATGTTCAGGTTGCAGCTTCAATGATGCAAAAGGAGACTGATTTCCTACCAAGCTACCCCAACCTTCCTGCAAAGTTGATTTGCATGCTTCATAATGTCACATTGCATGTAAGGAAGCCTTCTGCATTCTAAGCTTCTGTTTTCTACTGATATTTTCTTGTTGGAAATGGAAATTTGTTGCATCTATATAAATAGAGTGCTAGATTGGTAATATCCCTTCCACATTTTGGGATATTTGTTATAGTTCTGCTGAAGCAATTGGTTAGTAATTTGCGTGTGCATGCATTCATCTGCATTTTTGTAGAGAAATGGGTGCATGTGTTTACTCAAATCCTACTTAAGTAGTTTAGTGTACTACAATCTTAATATCAGGTTGGGAAGAGAAATAAAAAGACAGGAAAAATCAGAGTCTCAAAGAAGCTAACTTATCATTTATATTTTTGCATCAGGCTGATCTAGAAACTGATGAAGTCTATGCACAGATGACTCTTCAACCTGTAAGCAAAGTAGGTCAGCTATTCATTTTACAATTTCAGACTTAATCAATGCAATATGTTAGAACTTTTTTTTTTTCTTTATCCTATTCATCTTTTGTTCATGTATGGATAATTGTTTAAAGTCTCTTTCTGCAGTGCGACAAGGAGGCATTACTGGCATCGGATTTGGGCCTTAAGCAAAGCAGACAACCAGCTGAGTTCTTCTGTAAGACTCTCACAGCTAGTGACACAAGTACTCATGGTGGATTTTCTGTGCCTCGTCGATCAGCTGAGAAAATCTTCCCTCCTCTGGTACGTGGAAAATTCTTCAAGTTTGGATATCCATTTCAAAATTTTAGAGGCCTAAATGAAACTTGTGTTTTTTTTTTTTCCCTAAGGTCACCTTTATGATGCTTGACAGGATTATTCAATGCAACCACCTGCTCAGGAGCTAGTAGCTAAAGATTTACATGATACTACATGGACGTTCAGACATATCTATAGAGGTATTGTCTCTTGAAACTTGCTAGTCATTCCCTTTACACTCTGGAGAGATTGGCGAATTACTGTCTCATGCCTGAACTGTATTCCACCTTATTCCCAATCATTTTCATTTATTTTCTGTCCTTTGGGTTTTGGGGAGGGAGGTGAGGGACAATTGGGAGCAAGGAGGTTGTTTGAATTACCTTTATGTGTATCTAAGCATGTGAAAAGGTTGGAACTTGGAAGGTAAATAGATGATTGCTGAACATAAAATATAGCATTTGTGGATGCATTGGAGTCTTCATCAAGATTCGAGGCTCATTATTACTTTAGTTCTGGTCGGGGAATTTCTATATCAATAATGTGATAGATTCATTTCTCTGTATTTTTGCACATCATTATAAAATATTGATGCCTAATGTAGGTATTGAAGATTAGATGCTAGATAAGGAACAAGTTGAATAATAAATCATAACTGTGTGATGCCTTCATTGCAGGTCAACCAAAGAGGCACTTGTTGACTACTGGTTGGAGCGTCTTTGTTAGCACAAAAAGACTCTTTGCTGGTGATTCTGTTCTCTTTATAAGGTATGATAAACATATGAATATATTCCTCCCAAGCCTTTGTATGTATTAATGTATGATAAAAAGGGAAAATTTCAGCTATAATTGTTTGTTATTGCTACTTAACCAGAAATTTTTTGGTAAATGTAGAGATGAGAAATCACAGCTTCTTTTGGGTATAAGGCGTGCTAATAGACAGCAGCCAGCTCTGTCTTCATCAGTCATTTCAAGTGATAGCATGCATATTGGAATCCTAGCTGCTGCAGCTCATGCAGCAGCAAATAACAGCCCCTTTAACATATTTTACAATCCAAGGTATTGATGTAACATATTTTGGTTGTCATTAGTATTAATTTAGCAAAATTCCTATTTCCCCCAACACATAGAAGTGAGAATCTGAAATGATTTATTGATTTTGACAGGGCAAGCCCTTCTGAGTTTGTGGTTCCCTTAGCAAAGTATAATAAAGCCATGTACACCCAAGTTTCACTTGGCATGCGATTTAGAATGATGTTTGAGACTGAGGAATCAGGTGTCCGTAGATACATGGGTACAATTACTGGTATAAGCGACTTGGATCCTGTGCGATGGAAAAATTCACAATGGCGCAATCTTCAGGTATTACTTGGCAACCAATTTTCCAATTATGTAAATCCTATTTATGTTGGGAATTTCTATTTTAAAAAGATTGTTTTGCTGGGTTTTGGTGAAAGCCGTACCTCTTAACATGTGGTTAGTTTGTTTCATTTTATGTCCTTTAGGCTTAGAATTCATTTCCTACTCCATGAGCTAGGCCATGAGAATCCTACTTCACTTTCTCTGGTGCTTGGCTTTGAATTTATGCTTAGTGCTCATGTAATTTGGCATTTGTCATGTTGGCCTTACCCTTTGATTATAAACACTTAAAACTGACATCCTTGGTGGCATCATTACCTCATTCTGTCATCATCATTCCATACTACTATACTTTGGAGGTAGTTTTAAAGTGGATCATAATTCATGTTTAGAGTCAAGTTATGATTTCCCAGTGCTGTTAACTTTTGGTTTTATCTTTGCCAATTAACATAGTTAAACTGATTAGGTTGGATGGGATGAATCAACAGCCGGTGAGCGGCCAAGCCGAGTTTCAATTTGGGAAATTGAACCTGTTGTGACTCCATTCTACATATGTCCACCACCATTTTTCAGGCCAAGGTTTCCAAAGCAACCAGGGATGCCAGGTAAATCATATTCACTGATTATATTGACTTATTGTATTGTGTTGAAGGAGTAATAACATTTATGATATAAAGATTCCTTATGTTAATTCAGTACATGAAATTGCATTTTCTACCATTGCAATATTTGTGGATGCAAAAGGATATTTTATTTGTAATTAAAAAGGAGTTCTGATTTTATTTTCTTAGATTTGTTTGGTTTTTAATGTATGAAGGAAAAAAAGCAAAAATTCTAGTCATATCTGTTCTTGCTCCTGTTGCAAGATTCTAAAAAATGAATGTAAATTTGTAAGTTAAAACACTTTCTGCTAATAGGATCCCATTTTTGATACTTCTTGTGCAAAGTTTGATTTGTAACTGATTGATCTTAGCCAAAAAGGCTGAGAATGGTATGTTTGATTTCTAACTGCTATTTTGCCACCATCTATAACTTAATAATAATAATAATAATAAAATCCATTTGCACTAAATTCTGCTGTACTTGATGATTTAGTGATCTTTGCAAATGCCTTCGCAGATGATGACTCTGACATAGAGAATGCTTTTAAGAGAGCTGTGCCTTGGCTTGGAGATGACTTTGGTATGAAGGATGCCCAGAATTCCATCTTCCCTGGTTTGAGTTTGGTTCAATGGATGAGCATGCAACAAAATAATCAGTTGCCAACTGCCCAATCAGGATTTTTCCCATCCATGGTTTCCTCAAATTCTCAGCACAGTAACCTAAGTGCTGATGATCCTTCCAAGTTGTTGAATTTTCAAGCTCCCATGTTGTCGACACCAAATCTACAGTTCAACAAAGCAAATCCAAATCAAGTCAGCCAATTGCCACAAACACCTGTCACTTGGCCCCAACAGCAACAACAGCAGCTTCAGCAATTATTGCAAGCTCCTATAAATCAACAGCAACAGCAGCAGCAGTCCCAACAACTGCAGCAGAAACCACCACAGCAACCACAACAGCAGGCACAGCAGCTGCTTCATCCTCAACAGCAGCCGCAGCCACAACAACAACTACAACAGCAACCGCAGCAGCAGCAGCAGCAGCAGCAACAACAACAACAACAAAGACAACAGCAGTTTCCACAACAAATGTTCCTTCCAAATCAAATAAACAATGGTATGGTTGCTCCCACCCAGATCCCAAATCAAAATTCACACCAACCAGCTGTCTTCTCTCAGCTTCAGCAGCAACAGTTACTGACAAGCAGTGGCCAGTCCACCCAGACAATTGTCCCTGCTAATAAATCTTCACATCAGTTGACAACTTTACCACAAGACTCACAACAGTTTCAGAAGCAAATTGAGCATCAACCTAATCTCTTACAGAGGAACCAGCAACAGACACCATTGCAGCAGTCACAGCTGCAGTTGTTGCAGTCTCAAAGAATACAGCAGCAACCACAAGTTCAGCAATTACTACAGCAAGGTCTCTCAGAGCAGCAGATACAATTGCAGCTATTACAGAAATTACAGCAGCAGCAGCATCAGTCACAACAATTACTCTCGCCTGGAGGCTCGCTATCACACCCTCAGATGCAGCAACAACAGCAAGCCCATCAACAGAACCAACAATTTCAACAGCTACCACCTTCTCAGAGCCAACAGAAACCACTCAGCAGCAATGGTTTCCTATCATCAACACTTATCCAGCCTCAGATTCCTGTGAACCAGCCCCAGAGCCACAACAAAACACCTGCAGCTATGAGGACCCATTCTGGTCTTACAGATGGAGATGCTCCTTCCTGTTCAACCTCGCCATCAACCAATAATTGTCAGGTTTCTCCCTCAAATTTTCTCAATAGGAGTCAACAAGGGCCAGTCATGTTGGCAACAGATCCAGTCATTGTGCCTGCTAGTAATCTAGTTCAGGAGCTTCAGGGCAAGCCAGATATTCAGATTAAACATGAGTTGCCCAGCAGAACAGGACCAGATCAATTAAAGTTCAAAGGTACCATGACTGATCAATTGGAAGCAACCTCTTCTGGGACATCATACTGTCTGGATGCTGGTGCCATGCAGCACAATTTCTCACTGCCCACCTTTTTGGATGGTGATGTTCAATCGCATCCCAAGAACAGTCTTCCTTTTTCTGCTAATATTGATGGATTGGCACCTGACACTATATTATCAAGGGGATATGATTCTCAGAAGGATCTCCAGAACTTGCTTTCTAATTATGGTGGTGCTCCAAGGGATATTGAGACTGAGCTGTCTACTGCTGCGATAAGCTCTCAGTCATTTGGTGTGCCAAACATGCCTTTCAAGACTGGGTGCTCAAATGATGTTTCCATCAACGAGACTGGGGTTTTAAATGGTGGATTGTGGGCCAACCAAACACAACGTATGCGAACATACACAAAGGTATGTAGCCCCACTTGCATAAGGTGTATTGTTCTCCTTTTTTCTTTTTCTGTCTTTTTTTTTTGGGCCATCCATATGGTGTAGTGTTGGTATCTCCTTCATTCTTATTGTTAGGGTATTATTATGATTCCTTAGTAAGGATAGATTTGTCTTTGAAGTTTCAACATGAAGTTCTTTCATTAACTACGTTGTGGTTAGTTTAGTTTGTCTGTATAACTGCATGACTGGCCAAACTATTGGTAAAAAGGCGCTTCCTCACCTATATGGTCGGGGTTCAACTCTCATTCGCCCTCTCCACCTCTCATCCATGATGGTTTTAACCAATTGGCCTGTCCCACAAAAAAAAGAAAAAAAAAAAATTCTTAGATGCAATGCAACCAAGACGTGTACCACATCAGAAGCTATATTGCTGCTGGGACATTGAGAGAGACAACAGCAATGTCAATTTGAACAATTACTTTCCCTTATACACAAAACTTACCATTAGTGTTAGTATGTTGCTAGAGAACAAGATTTCTGAATGACTGAATCACATCTTCTAGATCTTTTTCATGTCCTCCCTGTGCAAACTAAATTTAAATCCTGGTGTCTGCCTAAAATCTGTTCGAAACAACGTCATGGGAAGCCTCCCATATTTTATCTGGTTTAGAGTAAGGAATTTGTTTGGGCTATGAAAGCATATGCTTGTTGTTAAAAAGCCTGTTTGTCTGAAGGTTCAAAAGCGTGGTTCTGTGGGAAGATCAATTGATGTAATCCGTTACAAAGGGTATGATGCACTCAGGCATGATCTGGCACGCATGTTTGGAATTGAAGGGCAGCTGGAAGATCCACAAAATTCTGACTGGAAACTAGTCTATGTTGATCATGAAAATGATATACTACTTGTTGGCGATGATCCTTGGGAGTAAGTCAAGATCCCCTATTCTGAGAGTGATTTTTAGCTTTTAGTTCTATTTATTCTCAACTTCTTGTCCTTTAATTGCTTGCAGAGAGTTCGTAAATTGTGTCCAGAGCATAAAGATACTGTCGTCTGCTGAAGTACAGCAGATGAGCTTGGATGGAGACCTGGGTAATGTGCCAGTTCCAAATCAAGCTTGCAGTGGAACTGACAGTGGGAATGCATGGAGACACTACGATGATCACTCAGCGGCCTCATTTAATCGATGAGGGTCTAAACTTTAAAGATCAAGAGCTTCATGTATCTCCTTGCATATACTGACTGGGGCATGTCAAAATCTAGTGCGTGCGCCTGTGATTCAAGTGATCAAAGCCCTTCTAGCGGTGTGTAGTCACTGAGATATAGCATACCCCCATGGCGGACCAACCCATTAGCAAAGCATGGCAGTAGAGCTATAGCTAGCAGGTTCTAAATTTAATCCCACGGTCAAGTCATTCCGAAATGATTTATGATTCAACTTTAGGGTCTGATTTTTTCTAAACTTTGGCCTTGAATAGAGGGTTAGGACTTAGAAGAAAGGATGATCTGACATTCTCTCTTGTAAATGCTGCGATGTAGAGCTTATCATGCAAAGGAATGAGCAGTACTTGTAGCTATTGATTCGGCAGATTAGATTGGCATGAAATTTCTGTTCATCTTCCAGTCGATGTTCTTTCTTCGAATATCCAAAAAACTGTAGGGCATTTAGGGAAACAAGAAGGCACAATCGATTATATCTGAAGTGAAATTATAACCAAAATCCTCATGCCTTTCGGCAACTCAGCCATAAAATTCAGCCCTACATTCCAATCTAGACAACTAAGAGAGCACAGCCATTACATCAGACGCTCTTAGGGCAATGTAGCTAGTACCATCCTTGCCCTTGAAATCGTTCCCAGCATACTTGGAGTACAGTACCGTGTTCCCTGGAGCAACAGACAGTGGCTTCTTGTTGCCCTCCTCATCCAGAGGACCAGGGCCAACTGCTATCACCTGTTTCATGCAGCATGTAAAGGATGTAGTTTTATTAAATGCCAGGCCCGATAAAATGTTAACAAGAAGATGAGTGCTTATCCTTACCGTGCCAATGGAAGGTTTCTCCTTGGCAGCCTCTGTGAGTAGCAAACCTCCAGCAGTTTTTTCCTCAGCTTCAGCAACCTGGAATCAGAAGAATTCAAACATTACTTATGCAATTCCAATTCCCAAAATATTTATGTTTTTCATGCACTTTTTCACCAAAGAATCAATTTATAATTGGGACGTTGCTAACACTACTAGCACATGATCAGCCTACTCCCCCTGCAGCTGCTATGGGTGTCACAACCAGTCTGATGATTCAAAGAGACAGATGGGGCATGTCAAGAGAAGCCTTATAGGAAACCAGTGACTGTGTTAGTGCCAACTTAGACCTTACATCTGATGAAAACTATAAGATTTTGAAGGATAATATACCTTTATGAAAACTGTGTCATTCAGAGGCTTGAGATCCTTGATATCATCTGTCTCAAGAATGCCGACAATGTCATCCTCCTTGAGGATAAGATGATTTTCACCATTGAAATCCAGCTCTGTCCCTGCATATTTGGAATAAACAACCTGGGTGCCAGGCTACATGAATGAAGCATATATGAGCACAAGTAATGACAAATCATGCATTCAACAAAAGCAAATAAGAAGATTAACAGATTCCTGAAATCCAAACCTTTACTGAAGGGTCCACTTTGGTCTGGCCAATTGCTTTTCCCTCACCAACAGCAACGACGTCACCACCTTGAGGCTTCGATTGAGCTGTTGAAGGAAGCAAAATTCCACCATCTGTCTTTTCCTCCACAGTTTTGATCTTCACCAACACTCTATTGCCCAATGGCTTAATGGAGATATACTACAGAATCACATTAATGTAATTTCTAAGCACCCGAATGCAACAAGAGCAAGAGCAACCATCTAATCATACCAAACAAATGAATGTGCAACCAGTCAAAATGGGCAAGCAGCAAAACTGAAAACAAGCATAAAAAACACTCCTGCACTCCCATCCCAGCGTCCCTAAAACAAAACACTACAGTATTTATCCACAATTAAGATCTTTAAATGTCAAAATCATACAAGATGCAATGTGTTTTCCTTATTTTTGGCCATTAGGGGTGCAATGTGTTATTGACCCTCATATTGTCTGTCTTTGAATTTAAACCATTTGCAGGCCACAATGGGCGAAAGGCCAAAAGCAATGCAGCCCTTGAAGCATTGCTCAAAATTCCATCATAACCAAATAAGCAGGAAACAAAACCACTACCACTGCTAATGCAGAATCGGAAATTATAAACAAAAATTAAAATTAAAAAAAAAATCACAAAAAATTTTACACATTATCTCAACTGAATAAGTCAGTCAACAAAGAACATTACAGAAAAATCATAGCAACTAGCTCGATGGTAATTTTAGGCTATAATGAAAAATTCAATCCACAAAATCTTAATTCATAAATTTAAATTTTAACTGGTAAAAAGAGCACAGCGAAGACACCTTAGGGGCAACGACGGTGGCAGCTTTTACGACCAAACCTTTAAACGACCTCTGGCACAGTGTCCCAGGTCTTACAGTTCCAAAAGAAGCAAACTTGACAGCCAATGGTCTTACCCCATCAAATGACACGAAGTTCCTCGCCGGCACTGTGACAGAAGAAGCTGTCAACTGGGAGGTCGCCATTTCTGAGATGAAAATCCAAGAAGAAAAAGAAATTATCAATCAATCATAGCTTAAAAAACAAAACTTTCACCCACTAATAGTAAAGAGAGGACCAAGAACCTTAGGGACAGAGAGGTTGAACTTGGGGACAAATGAGCTTGGTTATGCAGGAAGAGAGTATTGTATTTGGTTGCAGGACTGAAGAAAGTCTGAGAAGATAAAACCCTAGAGAGATAACGGGTAGGTTTTATCAAAATGATTAGAGATATTTTAGAATTTTGGCAATTAGAAAATGGGCAAACTCCTTTCAGTTTGGCCAGGTATGTACGTTTAGATCCACACGGGTTTCGGATCCAGTTCGGATTACCAACTGTAATTATGGGCT